GTCATGCCTGAAGCTGATCCGTGCTGGTTGCTGAGGAAATACAACAACTTTGCGCTGTGGATCACCGGATCGGCTTTCACCATGGACGAAGCGGAGTCCAGCCCGGGGTCGTCACATGTGGTTGCCGCAAGCCTCCTTTGTCGAATCCACCGGCCGCGCCGTTCTCAAGCCTGCCGCCTCTGCTCACTCTAGCCCTCCGGCCATTCCTCACTCTAGCCCCCGGCCTCTGCTCACTCTAGGCCGCCGTATAAATCATTATAATCCATAATTATGTCCTCACTGGATGCAATGAATGCCTCGTTTATAATGGGTTTTCATGTTTTTGAATCATCGCTCCGGCTTGACAGGGCATCATCACAATATGGTAGGGGCGTAACATTTCCGTCACACGCTTGAGGTATTCGGCCAATCATAACGCACTGGATAGCTGGCCAATCACAGCACACCTCGGTATTCAGACCGATGAGCTTTGTAAAAATTGGCACGTTTCAGAAAGGCGGGGCATAGAGGAGAAACAATAATGTACAGTATGTGGAAAATAATGTTTTTTTTTAACCTTAAACCGCATAAACACATTTCATTACACCAAATACACAAAATAATGTTATTTTTAGCAACATCATATGACCCCTTTAACTTTTTTTTTTTAAATAATTCAGAACTTTTTCAATGTTAAAACAACAGCTGACATTATTTCAACACTGCAGGTCAGCCACATGCCACCTGGGAACACTTTACTTACAAAAGAATGGGACATTTTACTAAAATGAATACATAGGTCAAAGACAAAAGGAAGTTCATGGTATGTTGCGAAAAAGGAGGTCATGGGCCCAGTCCACTTTGACATCAGTGCTAAGCCGCTGACCTTTGTGCCATGTGGGCTCATACACACCTGGTCCTGGAGTTCCCTGTTAGAAACAGGCAAAATGGCAAGGTTTTGAGACTTTTAGCTTTATTTCACTCAAAAACATGTACAGTATGCCCTTCCCATTTATGACAATCAATACACTGGCTGTGGTGATTTTTGACCCTAAAACTGGTTTTGCTGATGTAAAAGAGGCATAGAAATGGAGCTTACCGAGTGCACACTGTACAGCCGTGGTACAGTAGACTTAAAGCAGGAAGTGACTGCAATGCCTGTGCTTGGCCTTGGGTTGTAATGTCCAGGTGCTGGCCCCTCTTTCTAAATCCATCAGTGGAAGTAAATGCAACAAAAGGGAAATTCACATTTTATTTAATTAACCAGTTGATGGAGTATTTCACCCAAAAAGTGTCATGATCCTTTTCTGGAACTTTTTGAACCATATCAGATTAAATCACCATCCACCTCCATTGGATGGAAAAGAGCAGCTTGGACATTCTGCTAAACTTCTCCTTTCATGTCCCACGGGCCAAACTATTTATTTATGATCAAGTTGGGCTTTAATTAATAAACACTGATATGCTTTTTAAATGCTTTCAAAAGCATAGTTGAGAAGACGCCTGTGCTACAAAAACGGTCTGCTATCATTATATGCCATTTGATTCCACCAGCGGCCTTGATCCAGCTGGCCTGTGCTATGGTGTGTGTGTGTGTGTGTGTAACGGGTTGAACCATGCCAGAGGTGTTAATGCTGGCCGCAGGGGAGCTTGCTTCCCTCTGCCTGCTTGCCCATGAGGTCAACTTCCGATGGTTTTAGAGGCATCATGCCGTTGCGCCCTTTTTCAATGGGACGCCCAGCCAGCTCAACATTCCCCTGGATAAGAGCGGATAGCAGTGCCATACTGCACATGTCTGTAGAGGCTCTGAGCTATTATTTCATTAAGGGTGTGAGTCCTGTCCAGAATAGCCAGATTTATCACCCCCCAACACCAGTTACTCACAACTGCCTTTAAGTTGGATATGTGAAAGTCAAAATGACCCAGGAATGAAAAATTACAAATAAGGTCTTTATAGTATCTCAGTGGTTCTCCTAGACATCAGTGAGGTTAAATGGAGAAGAAAGAAAAATATCATTCTTACACCTTTCCCCTGATAGAAATACTCTGGTAATCTCAAATGTCCCCTCTTGAGTTTTAGAGAAAATATCTCAAATTTGCCAGGGTAGCAGAGATCTTAATATCAGCACACAATTCTCATCCAGTTACCTGAACTATGCTATCTACATTCATTTTATAGCTTTATAGGCTTACTTTATGCCAACAACTGTCTCACTTGTGTCTATTTTTATATCTCCTAAGAAATACTATCGGAGGGTTCTGAGATTAGCACACAGCCCGATATTACAGTCCAACAGCATTGGGACGTTTCACTGTTTGTATCACTCCACCTGTCTGTTTTTGTATGCTGCAGACAGACTCTCATTCTGTGCATTACTGGTTTGGATTTTTCAGTGACTCTTTCTGTTACATCGCTACACCAGTAGGTGGCGGCAAGTGACTGATTTTATGAGTCATTTAATCGTTCACTCAACCAATTCATTTAAGCAAGGATTCATTCTGAAAAAAACAGGTGATTGTATTTATGAATAAGTCATTGAATTATTTAATTAACCAACTGTCTAAAAATGAAGACTCATCCATGATCGAAAGAAGTATGAGTGAGTCATTGAATCATTCACCAATTTGTGCAAATAGGATTCATTCATGGACACAATGGTTAATTATGCTTTGGCTTTGCTTGAACCTATTTTTATTGGAGGAACAAAAAAAAACAAGTAACTGATTTGTGTCTAAAATGTAAGTTACTCAATAATAACCCCTTTTTAACTGTTGTATAAAAATAAATATCATCCTCGATTGTGTTATTGTGATATCACATGAACAGCACTCTCTTTTTTAAGAAGCAATGTCTGAGGATAACAATTACAATTTCAAAAAGACTGCAATACCTGACTTTTTTCCTGATTTTTCCTGAATTAACAGTCTGGGAGTTTGGAGTCAATGCTATTTGCTGAAAATCAGAGTCAGTCTGCAGATTTTGTCTGAAAATTGCATAGTTTATAAAAGGACCAGACTTTTCAGAGAAACAGACGATCTTTTAGCTTCAGACTGTGATTCCATCCAGTTGGAGGATATCAAACATGCTTGATATTTTGAGCTGCTTTTAGAACAAATATTATTTTTAATTTGTCACACGTCTCCTAACAATAAAGCACATGTATGCCAAAATACAAGCAGCACATTACGTGTCCCACCAGAGACAGCAATATATTGGATCACTGTTACACAGCAATAAAGGATGCATATCACTCTGTCCCACGAGCAGCTTTGGGGCTCTCTGATCACTGTTTGGTTCATCTTATACCGACCTACAGGCAGAAACTGAAATCAGCTAAACCTGTTTTAAGGACTGTTAAAAGATGGACTAATGAAGCAGAGCGTGATTTACAAGCCTGTTTCGACCTCACTGATTGGAGTGTTTTTGAAGCTGCAGCCACCGATCTGGACGAGCTCACAGAGACTGTAACTTCATATATCAGTTTCTGTGAAGACATGTGCATTCCTACCAGGACATTCTTATCATTTAATAATGATGAACCGTGGTTTACTGGGAAACTCAAACAGCTTCGTCATGCCAAAGAGGATGCTTACAGAAGTGGGGATAAAATCTTGTATAACCAGGCCAGGAACAGACAAACAATACTTGGTAATAAAGCTCTTCTGATTCTGATTCTGATGTTTCTCCATGAGTTTATTGTGTTCGAAACAGCTTGAAAGTCTGGCACTGTGTGATCCTCAGTAGTTTAGTGTATGATGGCTAACCATTTACAAAGTTGGCAAGTGTATGACGTCTAGTGTTTTAATATCTGTTGAGAAGAAGTCTTGTGTGTATTCCAGCCTTAAGATCAGCCAATGAGTATAAGAGAATTTGGCTGTTTGCTGTTGATCTGTCATCTTAAGGATAAGCTTGAGGTTTCTTAGCTACTTAACCTTTGACAAAACACTTGTCTTACATGAAATGACACCCTCTTACAGCCACACAAAGCCCTAATGTTCGCTCTAATGAGACCCAGAGGATGATTTAGCATCCTCACTGTTCCATCAACAATAGACAGCTGCCAGCACAGCTCGAATAACCAGCCAACACACCACTGAAGCCATGGTGCATGAGGTGCAACACAGCAGTGAAACTCACTCGAATCTAGATGCTTTTAAAAACATTCTCGGCTAAAAAAAGGCAAAGCATTTAATATACACATAATAGGTTAGGTTGAGATTTTTTATGTTGAAACCGGACACTTACCGGGAGAAAGCTGACCCTCTGTACCACTGATCGGAACATCACATGTCTGCAATAAGAGACCAGTGTCATAAGAGAAGACAATAAAATGGTGCAGACAGGCTGAAGGAGTAGAAAGAGTCAACAGACACAGGTGAAATACTACAGGCCTCAAGGCTGTTCTTCAGATTTGTACTTGCTCTGATAATATCTTATTGGCCCCACCACAAAAATAATGCATTTAATTAATTAATTAATTTTTATTCTCATTTGTGGTAAAATGGATAGTTGACATGAAATTTAAAGCACTTTTAGCACTGTCCTGCCATATGACCTTCTATAATTCAGAAGGGTTTGACATACTTGGGTAACTGAATTTCATACTATTTTGTGGAACTTGTGTACTATTGAAACGGAATACTTCTACTTTTACTCAATTGCATTTTTTAAGAAGTAATCATACTCCTTTCAGTTGCATTTTGAGCTAACATATTTCACTGGATATATTATTACATAATATATCCTCTCATTTCTTCTTATTTAATGGGGAAATCGCCACTGTTTCTTCATTACACCAGTAAATTTCCAAAGCTAAGAAAAAAAGTGTTAACTTCTTACTTTAGACCTTTTGTTACAGTTGTTGATGCTGTAAGGAGCACACGACAATGGAGAACTACGAATAACAGTCTTTTAATAAACCCACAGAAGAAACGCTAGAGAAACTCAGGGAAACCACAGCACAACCAACATGAAACATTCTCAATACAGGACAACGGAACGCAAGAGAACACAGGGCTTAAAGGAACGGAGACAAATGAGCTAATCAATCAACACAGGTGAACAGAATTAACTAATCAGGGCAACTAAGGAAAACTAAGTCAATGAAAAACGAAGACAGGAGAACAGGAACACACACACACACACACACACACACACACAAGTCCATAACTGTGACACCTTTAAGTACAATTAAATGGAGTAAACTTTGTATGTTTTGTCTAGATACTTTGATGTTCAATTGATTAATTGTCCACAACAGTTAAAATAATTACTGAACTGGAGTTTTAGGATCTGAATGTTCCTCTAAGTTTAACCAGCGATAAAGGGGTAAATTAAAATAAAAACGGCTGGAAATGAAGTAGATTATTCTTACAAATTCAAACAAAATCTCATCTATGTTGATCCAAGCTGATAAATTCACATTTGTCATGTCTTTAAATCACCAACAGGTAAGTATATCACAGAAAGCCAAATGTTAAGTTTCCATAGAGCACGTATTTGAGAGACAAGTGCAAATGCAATGGACCATCCTTGCTGTTGAGGCCTGCACTAAAGCATCTGAGGGCTGTTCTGTGAACTGCCTGAGATTAAGGAAGAAACCAAGAACATCGCCGCGCTGCAGTGTGTGATGTTCTCTGACTAGATGTGTGTGAAAGGGCTACTCACTTGCAGGGTGATTTGGGGACAGGCTTCTCTGTAACATCATAATGACCGGGTGAGAGGTTAATATCCTGCGTTAAACACACACAAACACTACATCAACCAATTGTTTTGACACACTCATTCACATACGCAGTGTGAGCTCCAGCCACTGATGATCAGATACATATTTTGCCTCTGTTTTTAGTGTCAAGTCAGCATACTGCTGTTTACACTAAACCAATACGAACATGTCATGGAATATAAGACAGAACGTTGTAGCCACCTTGAGGAACAATTTAATGCTTTGAAATGATTGGGGTCAGGGGTGCAACAAAAGAACTATTTGATTACATTCAGTTGTATTAATTAAAACTCGGTCACATTGTAAACTAGGCAAAGTTACAAAGTATAGAAACCGATTCTGAACAGTTGTATTATTACCTCATCACTTTGAATCAAACCTACCGGCCGGAAAATGTACTGTTCAACAGCAGGTTATATAATGTTTTTCTGTTCCAATTGTTTTCTTATGTCAGTCTGTGCTAGACTGTCTCTTTGACCACTTTGCCACATTTAAACTGTTTTTAAATGGCAAAAAAAAGTGTTCTGTGTTAACTGCGTTCAGCTTACTGCAATTTGGTCTGTGAAATGCGTCTCAAGAGCCTGCATATTTTTTTTTCTCTCATTTCACTCCACTGCACTGCATTCATTGGCTCACTGCAATTCATTCTGTGTGAATAACTGACTATAAACCAAACGCTAAATGTACCGCGGCCAGACGGACTCATCAATGGACTGCATCGTCAGGGGTGGTTCTGGAGGGACCAGTCCCCCCGTGTCAACAAATGTCACTCACAAAAAAAATAAAAAATAAAAATAAAAATACTGGCATACATGATTACTGACATTCATGATTTAGAAGTGACGTGTTGAAATGCTGGTGATGTCAGGGTACAGTGCAGGGGGATCACTGATTTGGGTGACTCACTGACCTTATCCCTGAGGCCCAAAGTGTGGATGTCAGGTCTGGGACAGCTTTTGAAAGAGTAAGTTGCCTGGCGCTGCAGCGCCTCATTGGTTGAGTCGGTGAAGTTATATGCCCCGGGCAATAGCACGTCCGCTCGATGTACAGTCGACATGAGGGTGTTTCGCTTGGGGCCTTTGAAGCCATACGTCCTAGGCACAGGGTTAAGTTCTGTCTCCTCTATGAAGTCCCGAATGTGGTAACTGCCAGGAATGGGATAGTTCTGGTGGTAGAATGAGGAGACCTCTTTCATGCCGGATTCACACCTTACATGATTCCTAAAGTTACTACACTGTTCTTTAGTAACATAGGAGATCCACATTTACATCCAAATGGCTATTAACCTACGTGGAACAGAGCCCGAAGCGCAAAAAACTGTTGGACTGAAAACATCATTGTATTGATAATATAGGTTTATAATGCTTTTTTTTTTTTCAGGACAAAAAATAGGCTCTGCTTGCAGCTGTGGTTATGCAGTGCTGCTTATGCAGGCAGTGTGAAAGCTGTAACCTGTTAATATGAGAACCAAAATAAATACAAGCTGCTCTCGTGTGCGGTGTGAAACAGGTCTTATTTTTGAGACAGAGGCCACTTACACCAAAAATGCACTTTATGTTGTGTTTGCCATAAATGTTTCAGAACAAGCGTTCTTGTTATGTTTCTTTTTGTTGGATCTTTTGTAAAATATCACTTACCTTAATAGTGTTTCTCCACCAGCCACTTCTGTCAGTGTACATTTCTTTCTGTTTCAGAATAAAATAAATAAAATAAAAAAAACTTTTGTTCAGAATAACTTGATTAATTTAAGTTTACAAGAACAACATTTATTTGAAATAAAAAAACGTTTGTCAAATGAATGCATATATTATAAATATATATACATTTGTAAGTGGACATTGAACCAACCCAGATCAAACACACCTGAACAAGTTAATCAAGGTCTTCAGGATTGCTAGAAAATTACTAGAAGGTGTGTTTGATCAGCGTTGGAGCTAAACCCCTTAAACTCTGCAGGACTGAAGATCCCTGCACTATAGAGAAATCTATTGTCTTTCTTCCACCGCAGTAAATGTGAAAACTTACCCCATCTATACATTTTCCTTTGGGTAATGTGTTCTCTCTTCCTGTGGTCATACTTCTGTCGTTCCTCTTTGTCTTCTGTAACAGACACCTCAACGACAAGAAGCGTTGCTTAGATACTCCTACTATTTAACTATTAATCAAGAATAATGGAGACACAAATTTCTGCTATGCGTTTGCTCTCTTATTCATTAGTTACATTTACTGATTTTGTTTGATATACTGTAAAAAAAAAAAAAAAAACTTTTATCAAATTATCTCATCTAATCTCCTAAATTTCAATCTAAACTGCTATCTACAATAATTTTACTCATACTGTAGGCTATGTATACATGTCTGATTCAATTTCTCATAAAGACTCAAATTAAACAGCGGAGTTAAACAGCTCCAATAAATCACCTAAACTTTGAACGGGATCTATCAAATCTAGGTTGCTGAAACCATATAAAATAGTTTTATTATTTATATAATCGTTGTATGCAAGAGGCGTATGACGCATGCATTTGTAAGGGTTTGTCACACATGAATAACAGCAGAGAAGGCAGCTTTCTCTGGGAGTTTAGGGCAGAATGTTCTGCTCTGTTGCTAGGCGAACAGGAACACATGCTTCCAACAAGCAACTGAAGGGCCCAGTGTTTACGGTTTGTCAGAGCCGTCTCCTGTACCAGTGCACTTCAACACTCACATAGCATGAATAACCAAGCCACGCTTCACGACTTACTGCTATTATAATGAGCTCATGAAAAAAAGAAGAAATAAATCGGTTTAACATCCTCATACTTTTGTTCCGGATTGCCCAAAAAGCTCCTTTAGTGGTTAGTCTAGAAAAGTCTTTATACCTAATGTTGATTGACGCATGCATGTTTCTTTATAGGCGTCTAATATTATGTAATACTAGGTCTTAGTACAGCATAAATTCTCCAAACATAAATAAAAACAACAACCCTGACAAACATAGCTAAACTTCTGAATAGCACATATTTAAACTCAGTCGAAAAACGACTTTTACAACAATTGTCATTCAAGAGTATTTTAATGAGCTTTTTTGACATGGAGGCCTCGCCCCAATCCTATCCCGTGAGTACACAATCATTTGTCCAGCTGACTCAGAGACGCATTGAATAGTGATTTACAAATGAATCATTTCAACTATTACAATAAATATTGTAAACATCTCAGTTAATTAAGTTAGTTAGCAGTTTCAAACCACTAAGATCAGCTCTGGGATGCATAATTATTAACATAAGAGTTTTTAATTAGAGGGCTAACAAAGAAACTTTTCAGCATGGGTAAATAGTAAATTTTATTGGAAAACAAATATACAACTTGGAATGGACTATCTGAGGCATAACAATGCCATTAAGCGGCTTAAAAAAAAAAAAAAGTAAAGAAAGAAAACTAGTGTGAATAAGTGAATAAAACAGTAAAAAGCATTGTAAGATTCAAACAAGTTCTTGGTATAGAACAGCAGATACAAAAAGAGTTTATGTACGAGTATCTTGTAGATACACCCGTGTCATTTTCTTTTTTTTTTTTGCAGTAGTGCAATGCTGAGAAATTTCATATATATATATATATATATATTATATACTTTGTCCATAGTCCATGCAGAGTTACTCCTCTACATTGTTGCCATGCCAACGTCGCTGCCAAGAGACAACCAACAGGCAGGTCTCCACTCTTGCTACGCATGAGGGGGGCAGACAGACGTGACCTGTGTTTTTTTTGCATGTCACAACCCCCTCTTCACGGCAACAAGCACCTGATCGTGTAACCGCACCGCCACTCCAAAAACACGATGACAGCAAAAGAAAGGGGACTTGAGGACTGAAGATCCTATGCAGTTTACATGCAGTTCCTTTGGACAGCCGAGAGGAGGAAAGGGACTTAACGTTTTACAGATAAATTAAACAGAAAAAAGGCAAATTACTTATAGAAGAGAGAGGATCTGTACAAGGCCTTCATTTCGCCGTCATCATCTGTACAAATTCTGTGGAGACAGAGAACGTGTTAGTCCGTTTCCGAAAGATGTCAAGATTTCATACATGAAGTAAAGTTGCACCCTGACACTGTGTCCTAACCAGCCACAACTGCAACAAATGTTATTTTGCTGGTCACTTGGTTATTTTGTGGCGTTGAGCCTCACCCACAGTGGAATCTTATTGGCCCAAAAATCCCAATTAAACAAACCACGTTCTGATAAGCTGTGATTGTGCATTCTCACTTTTATTGAGGACATGGTGTAATAACCAACAAGTTAAAAATCAACTCCACAATAAACTCACCTTCGTAGTTAACCTGTCCGTCTCCGTCAATGTCTGCTTCTCTGATCATCTCATCGACTTCTTCGTCGGTCAACTTCTCTCCGAGGTTTGTCATGACGTGACGCAATTCAGCTGCGCTGATGTAACCATTGCCATCCTACAGCACAGGATATCCAGGTCAGCGACTGCACGTGACTTTGTGTGGCACTAGTGTCTTATTCTGGAACGGGACAAGCTTTACCTTATCAAAGACACGGAATGCTTCTCTGATCTCCTCCTCGCTGTCTGTGTCCTTCATCTTCCTCGCCATCATGGTCAGGAACTCTGGGAAGTCTATCGTCCCATTTCCTATGCAGAGAGCAGAAGTATTCAGACGAACCCCAACTTTTAACATTCAACACTTGTGTCGATGACCGCATGCATCCTCCTTACCATCTGCATCCACTTCATTGATCATGTCTTGCAGCTCCGCCTCTGTTGGATTCTGTCCGAGCGAGCGCATGACAGTGCCCAGCTCTTTGGTTGTGATGGTGCCATCACCATCCTTGTCAAACAGTGAGAAAGCCTCTTTGAATTCTGCAAAGGGTGACAGATAAATGAAACGGGACCTTGTATTAACAGAATCTCTCAAAGATAAACGAACACTGAACACAAAAGACACACAGAGGAACCAGTGGGGCCAGTTCCAAAGAAGGGATGCCCTTCTTTACACATTCACTTCCAAAACAAGCTCTTTCAGATATTAAGGCAAAAGAAGCTTGAAGCCATAGAGCATTTAAAGTCAACATGAAACATAGTGACCTTATTTATACTAACAAATGTTCCTGGTCTTAATGAACGATTCATCAGCACCTGTTATTCTAAAGAACATTTTTTTGCCTTTTGGCTGACATCATAAAGCCATCATGCTTCATTCCAGTAAATAACTGGCCACTTTCACAATCAAACCAGTTCCTAATGGATAACAACATCCTGACTTATTTGCATTCCCTGAATTTCATGCTGCACTCAGAAAAAGGTCTAATTTTGAAAGTAAAACAGGTTGTAAACCAAGTTTCAGGTTGACTTTAAAATTTAGGGTCAGAGACACAACCACCAAGAACGACAACAAAGTTGTGCATACTTTAAACAGCAGTTTGCCAATACTCAAAGAACATGACACGACAAAAAAAAAAAAAAAAAAAACTGCATATGCGCCTGCATTGCTACAACAGTCTGTAATTATCAGTTTATTACACAAGGCACACACATGAAGAACATGTGTGACACCCAAACTAGAAAAGTCTTGAATAACTAGAATGGAGACAGAGAAAAAAAAAACACTTATGTCTCTATGTAAAATGCCACTGGCTGCTACAACGGACTGTCCCCACGCAAACGAAACCTTACCCTGCTTCTATGCAAACCATCAACTCCGAGGCCCGGTTTCTATGGAGATCTAGCACTGTGACCTCACTCTGTTCCTATGGAGATCCACTAAACCATATGGAGATCCAATGCTGTGACCTTATTGAGCTGATATAGGATCTACACTTCAGAGCAGTATGGAAACACTGCCGTGACCTCACACGTTCTCCAGGGAAACACACTTCAGTGACTAGGTCTTGATGGATAAACCACCATGACCTCACTGTCGCTATGGTGACCGACCACAATGACCTAAATGGTTTCACAGCGTTTCTGTTTGAGGTTCTCAACTGTAATCGCACAACCACGATTAAAACATAAGTCAAAAAACAAACACCGTGTATCCTGAAAGTGAGAGGGTTTCACATCCATTTTCTACCAAAGTGTTCAGATTAAACATGCAGGATGGCCTTTGCACGTAACACCAGAAACATGAACCCCCAAGTCATCTAAAATTAAAGAAATTTTTCTGTTGTCATATACAAGCACAATTCTAGCGTACATTAGATATAAAGAGAAAAGTGCATTCACAAATGCACACAAAAAAAATAAATAAAAAATAAAAATCACCTGGCCACTAAAAAGTTACCTAAATAAGCCAAAACACCCTGGAAATCCGTTATAATGACAGCAAGAACATCATGTGCTACCCATAGAACCGCTACAAGTCCATCACGATACTAGAACCTGCAATATCAGGCCATAAATGCCTCAACCAGCGGCTGGTGAAACGGTAGCTTCATGTCAAAGCCATCGAGATGTTCAGTCCAACAGGGGACACACCCTTGTTCCTCTGCGCCTGCAGTTACTAACTCTCTCCAACAGAGAAGAGGGTGTGTTCATCGAAAATTACAACTAGCCCTGGCAATTACTCATTCACTTTGTCTTAAACACTGGTGCCACACACTTCCCACCGCAACAACCTGTCCATTCATTTGGGGAATGTGTCCCGACAGAGTCTCAAGGCTCGCCATAAAAGGAAATAAGATAAATCCACAGAGAGTGGATTAACCATGGGAATCCACACCACCGGCCATGTGCCAATGGACGGGAGGGGGATGTCTTACCGGCAATCTGCTCTTCTGTCAACTGGTCAGCCTGCAAATGAGAAAAGAAAAAAAAAAAAA